GGAAGTTCGCTGATTTTCTTTTCTCTTTTGTTGTTTTTAATGTAGAGGCTACTGTTACAGCCTAGTTTATTTTATTTAAGGTCATGAAATAGTTTTTTTTAATATATATATGAATTAGCCCTGGCAATTATTTAAAGCAAAAGCAAAGTGTGCTTTTGTGACTGCTCAATGCCAACAATATATTGTTTTAAACAAAATTAATACAATATAACGACCGGCACCAGAGCCAGTGCAACCAATGCACCAGCATCAAGTAGCATAATTTAGAAGCTATTGTTATAACTATAAGGAATTGAGGAACTACTGTAAAAATTTTAGAATTTAGAAATGGACCAAAAGAAAATATTTACATTCATTAGCCCAGAAATGCTGTTAATTTCATTTCGGCATTTTGGGTTGAAAACGTCCGTTTCACTTTTCAAATTTTTGCCATCAAATATTATCACCCTGTGTTACATTTAAAGAAATTAAATAATGAAGAATCTACAAAAATGTATGTCTGTTTCTCACACTGTAATAAAACAACGATACCTAGAGCCATCCAATTTTGAACGTAATCTTCCACCAAATAATGGGCATCTGGAAGCCTTAATTTGGAATTTGTTTTATTATCAATTTAATATTTTATAACATTTTAACGAATTTTTTATTAACAAACTTAATGATTTCGAAACGACCAGTAGCAGCACTGTGGGGGGGGAACATTTTTATCTCCAGTGTGAGAGACTGTATTTAGAAATTTTACAGATATGCTCATTTTAAAATTATTTTGGGATATTACTGTTGAATTGAATTTTATGGTTTAAGTGCGAAGAACATGATATTTAATAAATAAAGGTAACAAACAAAACATTAAAAAAACGCCCCTTTAGGCGTTATGTAAAACCTGAAAACTTTCTGACTTTTTTTTAAAATGTATTTATTTATTTATTATTTTTTCAACTGAGTAGAAGAACTTAGGATTCACAGAGACTGCACTGGGCAGCAAAATGTTTAGTGTGTACAATACAATAGAATATTTTCTTCAGTGAAATAACTGAAGTTTTCTTATTACATTATGTTCAAATTAAATTATGGGAAAAAATTATTGTAAAGGTTCACGTACCAAACACACACACACACAAAAAAAAAATTCTTCATTCTGTACAGGTTGCCACTGTTTCTTTCAAATTGTTGAGTTTTGCCAATCAAGACTAATGAAGTTTTAGCATATGAAATGTTTGGTAAAACTTCAACTCAAAATTCGGGCTTCCAGGTGCACATATTCAGGATTATTCCAAATTTGATGGCCTTACGTAGTGTCATTTTTTTTTCACATTGCAAGGAACATAAATACATACATACATGCAAGCAGATTCTTTATTATTTAAATTTTTTAAAATAATACAAGGCAACAGTATTTGGTGGAAACAATTTGAAAAATAATACAGTCGTTTAAAGTGGACAACAAAAAATTCCACTTTGAGACTAATACTCTATTCGTTAATAAATAAATTTTAAAAAAATTTATAATTATTTTATCTTTTACACATTAACGAATGAAAGTACATTTCTGTGAAAGCAAAACTCTGGAAGAAATTAACTGTGATTAAGAAACAGTGTACACACATGGATATTTAGAAAACATATTTACCATCTATATGATGGCTTAGAAAATAATATCAAAATTAATGTTTAATTTTAAAAAAAAAAAATTTGACTGCCTTCCAATATTATACAAATCCATATTTACATAGAATAATATTCTGAATTTCATTGATTTTATAGTATCAGATTATATCGGGAAAATAGACAAAATTAAATATCTGAAAGCCACACAAAACTAAATTATGAGGATTCTCTTATCCAAATGAAAACACATTATATTCATGTTCAATTGAAAGTTATTTTATAACTAATTTTAAACATAAAAATTATTCTTAAACACCTCATATTAAAAACAAAAATTTCTAAAATATTTCTTTCTCTTTAATCATAAAAATTTTCCAGATATTTTTATATATTAAATCTTGTTGCTCATCAAAGTTTTCATCTACATCACATCCATTTTTTATCTTGCTGACCCTTTTCAAGTTCGTTTAAGTTCAGTGCCATTTCCAAGTTTGTTCTATGCTCCCTACTCTTGCAGCAATTATATATTAAGATGTCCTTCTAATGTGACCTGTAGACACTGATTGAATATATACTGAAATATTTAGGTATTATTTATGCTTCCAGAGTATTGAAACGGTAATCAACGGTAATACAGACACAAAGCAGTAATTATTACAGTCTTCTTGAAACATTTATAATAGTAAATCTGACAAAACATGTAGAGATTCTTGCTACAGAAACACAGTGGCAAATACTGAACAAACAAGTACAGTGATGTATACTGAGAAACACACAGTGGATAAATCTGCATGAATGGACTTTTGGTCATGCTTTTAGTTTATAACTTGCAGTTTATACATTTTATAAGATTTTAAAAAAGAAAAGAACCTGGATCAAACTTGGTCAAACATTGTTAAAAACTGACTGACAAGATTTAATACAACTCTTAACTAAAAGGCTTAACTGTAATGTTTCAGAAATCAAGTTAATGCTTAAATATTTATTTAAAATTTCTATGCAATCATATATATCCTTATTGCCAACTGTTTTTTCATTGCTCCTTAATGCCTCTTAAAGTAGTAACATTCCTCCAGATCTTTTCAGCTCTTATCGATGCCAATGTTTACATTGAAAAACTAGAACCAAAATCAAAACCTGCTCTTTTTTCTTATATTTTTTTTTTAATCTCTTCCAGTATTTCAAACAAAAACTGCACATTTTTAAGTGATATAAAGAAATATTTTGAAAACTGAACTTCATAATCAACTAAATTTCTATATAGGTTATATAAAAAAAATATTTCAAATGAAATAGAATGAAAGCAATACACATTTTAATTCCTTTTTAAAATAAAAAAATAATGATATTTTTGCTTCAGTCATTGATAAGAGCAACTTTGATCAATATCATACATAACTGAAAGACGTACATTAATTACAAATGCTTTAACACAGTAAATCATTACAGCGAACCTTTTAATCCTCACCTCACCTCTGTCTTTATGAAATCATTCAAAGTTACAGAAAAATATAAACACTGATAATTTTGCTACTTTGTGTAAAGCAGTACAAGAGCACAAATAAATCTCCACAATATTTATTTAAAAAAAAATGTTAAATGATTCAGTAACACTTAAAATGATAAAACGTGCTTAATACATGAAATAGTATTTACATATGAATTACTTCCTAATGTCTCCCCAATATAAATCTATACCAATTCTTATAATAGGAAGACTTAATAATGCAGGCATGAACACAAATTATTTGAAGAACTATACAATTCTTGTATTATATACATTTTACTCAAAAATTTCAGTTTTCTATAATTATAAAAATAATAATAGAAAAACTGCATAATTTGTAGCTGAATCTGACTTCCTAAAATTATTAAAACCAAATTATCTTTGAATTTTCTTCAACTAAAGAATGAGAAATCATAATGATATTCAATTTTACAGTTTTATTGACACTTACGTTTAAATTTATCCTTTCATTTACAACTATATCTGAAGTTTCAGAAATCAAAAATATAAAAACTTAATGCAAATTTTACACCCATTCATTATAATAATTCAATTTTATCAATAAACTGCACATGCATACAGTTAAACAAAAAATAAAAGCACAATTTTTAAGTACCAAAAAACTAACAATGCTGTCAGCATTACTATGCAGAAGAGCATAACGTCTAACTACACTGAAACATCAATATGTTACTAGATTAAAAAAAAAAAAAAGGAAAGGCTAAAAATTTTAAGTCAGTTTTTGACACAAAAACCTCAACAAATTATAAGATATGTAATTTGATTTTCTGCACTCCTTCTATAATAAATACATTTCAAAGAAAAGTTTTAGAAATCACATACTTTAATACATTTCCTTAAACTTATCAAAAACAGTACAGTCAGGGTACAGCACACTGTTTTTTAGTGTTACAATCATATATATATATAACTAATAATAATAAATAGCAGATTTTTGCTGCTATATATATACATAAAGACCTATATATACATTGAACATTATGTATGTGTGTTTTATCGTAAATATCCAAAATTTATTATAATGTGAACTTACAAGTTAAAAAAGAAGTTCTCATGAGCATATATAATTTCCAGTTTTTACCAGTAACATTAGATCTCACTAACACATAGCTGCCAACATGGAAGTCTTTCAGGAGAAAGTGGGAGGGCTTAATGTTGCATGATGATGTCACATTAAAGGAACTGCAAACTGATTTTAATTCAATTATAATGCATATTATTTAACCATTTGTAAAATAATTTTGATGTAAAATATATTAGTCTTTAAATAGCTATTCTAAATTTTATGTTTTCTAATTTAAATTTAAAATTTTCTTACACTTTTTATATAAAGAAAATTTCCGCTTATTGAAGGAAAGCTTTTATTTATCAAAGTACTTTTAAATATGACAAAAATAAAATAAATAATTAATGTACATAGTATTTGTATATATAAACTGAGTAATGTACCATATATTGAAATAAAATAAAATAAAAATATTAATTGATTAAACAATGCTTGAATCTTCATATAAAAATCTACAAATGTCTACAGAATATTAACTCATAGCAAATGAAATTTAATTAGAAAAATTAAATTAGATCAATAAAAATGTAAAAACTGGGATAGTTGGCAGCTATGCTAACATCATAAATAAAAATATATATCTAGACCAACAAAAATGACAGCCAACTAAACTGTGTAGATCTTGGGGGGGGGATGACACAGAATAGCAAATAATTGTAACTCTTATTTTTTTATTCCCAACAAAAGACACTTTCTTGCTTTAAAAAAGTATACTTCATTTCTAATAAAACATTCTACAGTACAAAAGTCCGAAATCTGGTTGTCCAATATCCAAAACTTCCTGACTGCCAGCAATTTTTTTTTTTTTTTTTTTTTTTTTTTTTTTTTTTTTAATGGGTGTGTGTGAGAGAGAAAGAGATTCCTGGAGTAGCATACACTAAATGTTTTTCATATATATGCAATAGACATTTTTTCATAATAAGGCATGTGAAGGTTTCAGATGCTAATGTCCAGTTTGGCATTAAACAGAACACCTCCTCAGAGGTTTCGTTTAATCGTTAAAGGAACAAAATAATTTATCAGCATAATTTGAGCATAATAAATTTATCAATAATTTGGCTCTACAGCTGCCTTATTGCTCATAATACATCTCAAATTGAAACATTCTATAAATGTTTATCACTGATTTTATGTCTACTGAATATCATATAACCCTTATGCCAACCTGGCAAATACTTGTGTATATAAACTGAGTAATGTAAACTGAGTAAATAAAATTATTATTTTTTGCTTTCATCATCACACTATTGGCTCAGGGCAGCTTGGGAAATCGTTCATGCAGCCATGCCTAAAGGAAATTTGGTTTTAATTATAAGTAACTGAAAAGCAAACACCATACTAACCTTTCATACTTACATTACACTTGCCGACAATTACAAACTTACGCCAAGTGTTATACCAGTTGATGAAAAGAAACTTAACAAAAATTTCTAAAAATAGATTTTTTAAATGATATTCATAGACCATTTAATGCTGCTTGTAAATAATTTATTTGTCATTCCATTAAGCTTTAAGGTTTACTTTTCCATCCATTATAATTTTTTTTTTTTTTTTTTTCTTTTTAGAGCTAGTTGCCAATCTCATTATATATTGCTGGTAGTACATAGCGAACGCTCGCTAAGTTGTAAGATGATGGTAGCTGTGAATCTGAATGTTTTCGAATACCACAGATGAAAAATTAAATTTCCCAAAATGAGTATGATATAAAGAAGTATTCAACTGATATGACAGGGCCCCAATAAACAATCAGTACTTGTGTATTAATGCAAACACCTTGGCACAATTTGACGATTTTTCCCAGATGAAAAGCTAAAAGTTACTTATCAACAAATGAAAGGCACAAGTTGTTTGTTTTCATGCCCTTTTTTTAAGAAAGATTTCCAAACTATTGATATTTATCGTATGTTGATAAACATTATCAACATATGAGAAAAAACACTTTAACAATTTAAAATACAAATTTTATTTATTAAATAAGAATTATGTGAATACTTACATTCTTCTTAAAATGTTTCTGTAAATTTGTTGTGCTGTTCTTCCCCCGAAGTGCATAGGGATGTGTTTTCCCTTAAAAAACCATCACAGAATTGTTAAGACTTGGCTTTGTGCAACCCTTGGCAACAGTGCCATCTGCAGAAATTTCTTCCATCTTTCTGAAAAAGTTTCTTCCATCGCTGGGAAATTCTACAAGCTCAGTTTTCAAAACTATGTTTAAGGCAATATCATGATTTGCTTATAAAAACCATTTGAACTTTGAATACAACAAAAAAGAATGCATATGAAAATAGCGGCGTCATTTGACTGAAGGTTGGTTATGAGCATGGCTGCCAGAGTTTGGCAATTTTTACTAAGGTGGTTGCATTAATACATAAAAACCAACCACTGTACTAACAGATGTAAAATCTGCAGCATGCTTCTTAATTGAGAATTAAGAAGCATGCTACAGACACTTCTACTGATAGTGAAGAAAGTGAAAGACAAGTTGTTGAGAACAAAAAAAAAAAATTTGATAGAAAATTTAGTGGGAATTCTTGACTTGCTAAGTGAACTCTGTAACTGAAAAAGAAACTATGTCTATCTATAAAATTAAAGAGTATTAGCATAAAAAATGCTAAACAACTCGCATTTAAGAAATTTTTAATACAGCAAACAAACATTTAGCTTTTTATTTATTCATTTGCAAATTTTGATTCTCTTAAGGACACTCTTATGGAAACATTCGTTCGGTATTTCATAAAAAAACTATTTCATATTTTTACTTTTATAATTTCTACATGTCATCTCACTAGATTCAAACTGATGATCTAAAATCTGAAATTGCCAAAGACTCATTAAGTCCAGATCTTGCACTTTGTACTGTATTCAATTTCAGTATCTGGATACAGATATCTTTAGTACGAACTAGTTTTGATTAAAAATTTCATTAGCACATAAAATAATTCATACTATATCTCCAATTTACAATGGACACTAAAGAGGTCATGATGTAACTAATAAAAGCCTGAAGTTATTAAAGCTCATAAACTTTGCATCTTTATTGTAATCAAGTTCCATGATCCATGGATTTTGAGTACTTACAGCAACACATATAATACATCCAATATGTATACATAACAAGGGGGAAATAGAATAATTCAGTATAAATGTTACTGTGACCAGCACAAATTAAGTTTTGTTATTTGAATTTTTTTTAATTCTTCCCTTTCCAGCCATGTAATTCTTTGTAAAAATTATTTAAAAGATCACATTTCTGAAACATAAAGAAAAAGGTGCGAGATATGATCATGCACAATAAATGTTTTACAGCACCATTAAGTTTAGCTGCAATTTTTCCTGTACGTACATAAAAAATTTAATAGAATTCAAACATCTATGTATTACAATTATACACAGAGATATATCAAATATGAAATTTTTATCAATTTAACTACATATGCATAAAAACATCTACCAGGTAAAAAAAATTATTACTACACATGAGGATAATTCTATTGGATGAGAATGGACTGATGAGAGAACAATGTAATTTTATATTCTCTATCTATTTATTAGAGCTATGCTTTCATTATTAATCTGTTTTAACAGTCACTTCTTCAACTAACCAAAATTAAAAATAAAAAGAAAGGAAAAAATTAGATGCGGTTAACTGTTCATAACATAAAATATACATAACATTATATATGATATTCATATTGCAGTATTAGTGACTGCAATTCTAAATTCTATTTTCTCTCTCCAAATAGGATTCTCTATTTTCATCACAATATCATCCTAAACTGACTGTTGCAAAAGACCAAATCTTATGAACATTTAAATTTCATAATAGATGATGGAAAATAAAAAAAATATAATTAAAAATTACTTCATTTTTTATGATAGTTCGCTAAGGTGAAGAAAATGAATTAGTATTTTAAATTCATTTGTTGATGTTATTTTCTTTATACTCACTTCTTGCAATGCATAAGCATGTGATTTTTTAAACGACGAATTTGCCTAGTAGTAAAAGAACAATAATTACACTTCAGAGGACGAATCATGTTGGGGGACTTATGAATGATGATCTCATGACGTATGAGTGCAGAACGAGAAGTTAAAAGAAGTCCACATGTAGAACATTCAAACCCATCAAGGTTTTCTGAAAAATACATATATTTTGAAAAATTTTAATAAAAAAGAATTGCTGTTGAAAATTTTATTAAAATCTGAAGATATTTACATGATTTATATAAATTTCTTTGAACAGAAATTAAGGACTTCTAAGGATTATTAATGAACAAAATAAGGACCTATCAGGAAACAGAAATGAATAAATTAAAGTAACTACTCCAGTATAATAAAGGTGATGCAACTGATTGAAACACCTTCAACCATTCCTTTTTATTACAGTCAAAAGTCTTAAATCCGGACTCGTCGGGACTTCGGCGATTCCGGATTATCAGTTTTTCTGGATTATAGATCATCAGTTTAAATCTGGTAAGATGGCATCCAGAAATTATAAAATTAAAAATATGAAACCGTAATTTATGAAATAAAGAGCAAAAGGGTATCAAAATTTACACAAAAAAAAAAAAAAAAAAAAAAGAGCTTAATATTTATTTGTTTACTTTATTAAATATTTCTTTCAACACGCGCTTGCGTAAAGCATACATTACGCATAGTCGAAATTAGAAAATTGCAACCAGAAAACTATTTGATGTGCATTCTTGATATTTAAAATTACGAGAAATTTGATTTAAATCATATTAAAGATGGAGTACATCGAGATGAAATACAACATTTAGTAAGGAATTATAAGCCAAATAAAATAAAAACATCTGCCCTAAAGATAAGGATAGTGCTGACAGATCAACTTCCAGTTCATTGCTCGCCGCGACGTCCCCCCTCCCTCGCAGAACAGTGTGAAATTAATAAGCAGATTTCGGAATGGTTAGAGAAACAAAGCATATAGCTTTATCCATTTTTTGCAGCAATTCCATTTTTTGTTTGATAGACATCAAAACACGCTTTCGCTTTGTAGATCCTTTGGCAGCTCCAGAATCGGAAATTCTTTTTGACATAATCGAAAGTTCAAGCTTACTTTTATAAAATTGCTCTAACAGTCTGCAAAAAATAATAAGCCTGATCTAATTGGAAGAATAAGGCGCAACGCAATCTGCAACATTAACTGAAATAGATAATTAGATAATTTTAGCTTAGCTTATACCGTTCATTATACATTAAACTTGCATGCATAAATGCATTATGCATTTACGCACGCGCAGAAAGTTTGTAGCTTTGAGGTCCGGATTATAAATCATTCCGGATTATGGACATCCGGATTAAAGACTTCTGACTGAATATCCTTTTAGATGTATATTATTTACGTTTGTCCTATTATAAATCGGACCAACATTCAGATTTATTTCATAATAAATCAAAATGCAGTTCCTTTTACATAATTTCACTACATAACAATTTCCTGCTAAACCAAATATGTACTATGCATCATTATTATTGAACACAATCTAATATTCAATATAAAATGTAAGTTAAACAAGTTCAGAAACAAATTTAATAAAATAAAAACAAGTTTTTATGAAACAAATTTAATAAAATAAAAACAATTTTAAACAAAATTTTATACAAAAAATTTAATTAAAAAAAGTGACTCTCTAAAACTCCCTATAAGTGTTCAGTGATTAACACTAAACTACAAATAATTTTTTTTTTTTGAAAAACATATATTTTACACTTACAACACACAGGTGGGAAGAATCAAAGAAACAGCTATTAAAAAGTTCTTACGTTAATTCTATTAAGAAACGCATGATTAAAAGTAGTTGGTTGGAAGCTCAAGTTCAATGTAGGGATTCACCTTCACATAAAATATACAAAATTTTTATGCACATTCTTTCCAACATGCATGGGTAAAAAAATGCAAGAGGGTGCTTCATATTCTGATTTCAAAGACTGAACATGTAGTTGGATAAAGTAGAAAAGGTTGGAATACATCATTCAGAAATCATAAGATGGATTGTGAGCAGAAGTATGTGACTAGAATGAAAGCATGACACAGGCATATGTGGACTTAAGAGTAGCCATATTATAGATATGACTAAAAGGTTCATATCTATAATATGAAAACCATTTGCGACATTGGTGATGTATGTAGACAAACAGTTCAAAGTCAAAAACATGCTATGGCAAACTGGCTGTTATGACTGTTATTTGCCAATGATTTGAAATGAAGTAAACAAATGATGTAAGCCTAGACTACAGTGGAGTTTGCTACAGAAACAAGAACTCGAATATCCAGATAAACTAAGAGTGATATGTTGCATAAAAGAGGTCACTGTGTATAAAGAAATTCCTGATATATGTGCCATTAACTTGGGCTATTAGATTGCATTGGTGCAGAGATCATCATGATCATCAACAGAGACTGAAACCAAATTCTGTTTACAGAAGACTATCATTTTTGTTTGAACAGCAATTCCAGACATGTTACTCTGCAGAGAGCAAAATACATAAAATAAGCCTGAAAAAAAAACCATCAGTACAAAGGTGGTAAAATCACAGTACGGTGGGCTTTATTCTGAATGGCCAAATAAATAAACTTACACATTTTTACTAATGCAAATATAAATGCTGAAATATACAAAGATGAAGTTCTTGATCATTATATCATGCTGCTTAGGAGTACAATGGGTAATAACTTCTTTCTAATGAATGATAATGACCATGTCCTGCATTAGTAACCAGTTATCTAGAGTATGAAGGAATCTAGCAGATGGACTGCCCTGCATATTCTCCACATTTAAATCTGATAGAATATGAATAGAATCTGCCAGGATACTAATTTGCATCACTACAGCCCCCACCTAGCATTATTATGGAGTGTCAGGATATTGTTGATTGTGAATAAATTTTGTTACCAAGGAACTCAATAATCTGATGCACAGCACACATAATCAGCGTAATATTTGCATTTTAAACAAGAATGACCGTATGTCTTATTAATTCCCTGTTTACCTAAAAAAAAAAAAAAAAAAAAAAAAAAAAAAAAAAAACACGGACTTTTCCCCAGCTTACTTTATATCACATTTCCTATATTCTTAGTTAAATCTATTCTTTTGCAGAAACAGGCAATTCTGCAATTTGAAGATATGACAGGTATGATAAAGATCTTGTGCAAGTTTTATATTCTTAGTTGCAAAGTCATTTAAGTTACATCAGTTTTTATAATCATTCCTTTAATTTTTCTCATCAGTGTAGTATCATGTATATTAAACAGAAAACTTATAGGGTCACTTTCATAAATGTTCTCTTATTTTTAAAAGCATACATGGAAAACACCACTACTGAAATCACAATCACATGAACTTTTACAGTTTAATGTTACCGATAATTGCTTATTTAATTTATTAATTTTTTTAAAAGATGTCAGAATAACTGTACATTAAAAGATGCAAAACATCTACATGCAAAACAATACTACAAAATACTTATGCTATTTTAATCTGAATTGTTTCTGGATATTTTTACTTATTAATTTCTTTATATAAGTTTCTAAGTTCACTTACTCCAATAAACGAATATTCTTTTTAGTTTCTAAACCATCTCCTAAAGTAAAGCAGAGTTTCTGAAACTTTTTGGTGTGGATAACCCCATAACATTTATGAAAAATTTGTGGGACTCCATAAGCATTGTGCAAATCTGGCATGAGTGAAATTGTCAGTTTCTTCACTTAATATTACTGTAATACACTATAGCAGTTTTAGGTCATTAATTTTTTATTTTAAGAACAATGTGAAATTTTTAAATAAGTAATAAATTTAAAAATATAATACAATAATAAAAATTCAATTACTTGGTTAAATTCAAACATTAAATATAGTCTCTCCGTTAAGTGTAACCACTTGGAAGGACAATGCTGAGAAAAGGCAGTAACTTCTAAGAGCATATATGCAAGGATAGAACATATATTAATGGGAAGGATGTGCCTGTTTATTTTTAATTAAATTATAAAATTATTTTTAATTATTATCAAATTAACTAGTCAAAACCGCAGGACAAAGCACTTCAATATTCTTTACACTTGACCGACACTTTGATTTTATGGTAGTTAAAGACGAAAATATCATCTTACACAAATATGTCGTGCAAAAGAAAAATTATAGCTGTTTCAGAAATAATTTAAAATTCTTTTACAACTCCTAGCCTAAAATCTTCTAAGGACTTCACATTAAAATCAGTTTTTAACCACGAATCATTTGATAACTCGGCAAATTCTTGTGATTTTAATGGTAAATGAGTAATATTTTCCATATTGATTCCAAATGGTTTCTTAATCCATGTTAGTTCTTCAGCACTAAAATTTGAAGGGAAATATTTCTCAAAGTCATTCTCAAGACACCGAAGATGCTCATTTATCACTTTTAACAACTCATCTTTTTGATGATCTGTTTCATTGTTTTCACTTAAAAATTCACTTGCTACAACAGACATTTCTAATGAACCTTTTTTCACCATGGTTCTCCATATGGTAATTTTCTTAATTAAAGGATCAATTTTTGATTTGAATATGTTGTAACATTTTCCTTGAAGTGATAAATTAAGTTCATTTAGTTTTCAAATATGTCACTCAAATAACACAGTTTTTGTTATAATGGAATAAATTTGCAAAATCAGATTTTTGTTCGGTTACAGAGTGTAATATTGTGAGCTTTGGGGCCCACAATGTTATTTCGTGAAGCTGTGAATAAGCTAAATAACTTATTAAATCTTATGCTAACTAAACTAGCAAAAACCTGAAATAAACTCATAAGTGCTAGTTAATTCAACATTTGTGTGATCGTAATTAATGGGAGTCAATGCGTTGTGGTCTAAAATTCCGGGACCGTGCTAGGTAAGGATCGGACAAAAAGATAAATGTAATTCACAAATAAAAACATGGCATAAATTTCAAATTAATTTTGGTTTGTTAAGTATTCTCAGGTCTAAAAGGAATTCTCACAGAATCATCTTTCTATCATAATTTACATAGTTATGGACTACCCAGTAAATTTTGTATACAGTACAAAGTCCGAAATCCGGACGTCCATTATCCGGAATGATCTAAAACATGAACCTCAAAACCACCACCGTTTTTCTGAT